ATTTAACGGATATACGGAAAGAAAACGGGGAAATTAGATTTAGAGAGCAAGATTTTATTCGGATTTTATTCTCGCTTGCAGTTTGGATGAATTGATTCCTATTAATCATCAATCGATCCCTATTAACCATTAATTGCACACGATGCGCACGTTCTTTGTCTAAAAATTGTTTTTCACATACATGCGAAACTGTTAAGACAACCGCATACGCCTCTGCGTCATAATTGCTGCTTTGCCTTGCGGTTGCATTAATGCCACGTAGAGCAACGTGAAAGAAAAGTGACAAAATTGAATTTCATGGTCTTAATTCTCAAACAGAATTTGCACGTTTTGCACGCGGAGCACGGGTTCTTTGCCAATGTGCGTAACGAGAGGATATTTTACGTCCTTTCTTCTTAGCCGAGCGATCGATAGGGTTCATGAATCTATCCAAACCTTTCGGTGAGGAGATAAATCTTCTCGATCTCCTCTCGATATTTCTTTCTTTCTTCCTTTTCTCTTTTTCTCTTACCTTCTCTCTCTTCCTCTCTCTCTGTCCTCAATGCGTGCCGATCGTTTCCTGTCTCACGGACCGTGATCTATCGGCGGATCTCCGATGATACGATCGAGTTTGCGCATGCAGACTGCGCCATAGGGATGAACCAGGGCATCAAGATACAGCGGCACGTGATTATCCGTATTACAGCGTTTCTGTTTCGAAAATTCGGGAACGTCTGCATGCGCCATGTTGTTTGCGGTTACAATTTGAGATCTCTTTTTCTCACACAAAATAGGATTTTCCTTTATGATACTTGTGCATATATATGGTACCGTATGCGGCTTTCCAAATCTTTTTACGTAATGACATCTCGGAGTTCGCTATTGTTATCGTGAGAACCGTTTCATTTTCCATGAATCTAATCCGAATTTTACAATTTCTTGGTTTATTTATCTCATTTCCACGAGATAGTAACTATAATAATAATAACAGAGAAAGAAAGAAAGAGAAGAAATAAGTTTGTGAAAATATTTATTTGCATTGATCCATTTTGTCGTTTATTGATGGTCTATTATAATATTTGATTCTTCTTAACAAAAAATCTTATGATTGACGATCATGAGGAAGGTTGCATGCAATTTCTTTCCGCAACTGAAGAGAGAGAAACTTAAAGAAGAACTTAAGTTTCGTATACCAGACACGGAAAGATGAGTTTTCATGGAAAACTACAAAGTGAGATGACAAGGGATTACTTCGATGTAACAACAAATCCCATTGTTGAAAACTTGGGTTGCACGAGAAACGACCTGGTTATTTTTATTGCCCGAACGAAATATTTTAACGTGTTGCGAACTGGACAGTCATTTGATATATCGGATTAATTAGAGAAAATGGTACTGTTCCGTTGCAAATAGCGTAGCGAAACGCGTTATATCTGAAATAAACAAGTCTCGTGCCAAAGTCGTCGCGTTACATGTTGGTCGACCGTCTAAAATTAGCCGAATACGCCCTAGTTTTGTTAGGAATAATTAGAATTTCGCTGTGTCATAAAAATGTCGCGTTACCGACGCTACGATCGCATTCGTTCGCAATGAATCGCGCGATCGAAACGCGCGCCCCACCATTCATTACGGACAGTGAGTTGAGTTTTATTAATCGGCCACGCGCGTTGAGGCGACAGAGGAAAGGGGCTTTTAGAGTTTCCTCGTTTGTGCACATTGAAAACTAAACTATAACGCGCGGGTTGTGTCGTGGAAGTATCGTCATTGTCGCCGGTGCCGACAGACACCGCGCCGACTGTCGTGTCGTTGGTTAGCGGAGACAATGCCCACGGCGAGATACAATGTGCGACGACGATATAACAGCTCGTGAGGCACAAAAGCCGCGGATGCGAACGTACTCGTTTAAAACGCTTATGTCGATCCCCCGGTTCCCTACTTCGCTTGTCCTCAGTTTCGTTTCCTTTCGGAATGCGGCTGATACATGACATCCACCGTGCGCGTTCCGATACGCAAAAGATATTTCTGTTGCCATATAGCCACAGGACGAGCACAAGCGTGCGCAAAGTCACTGCGTAACTTTTCGTTTTAATGTATAACTAACGTTTTTTATTTACGAGAATGAAAGCACGACTATTCAATATAATTGATTGAATTAGCTGACTAATTACATCGTTACCGTCTCGAGAAATACATTTTCTTTAATCCGGATATTTGCACTGCAGTCGATAGTTAGGCTCTATATATATTAATTAAGATGCAATTCTCTAGTTTTCTTTCGATGGCCACAATGAATTAAATGGGAAGAAAATAACGTGGAGTTATATTATATCGTTTTATAATGCACGCTATTACACAAAGTCCTATAATTATCTAGAATGTTTATTGGCGACTATACGGTTTTAGTTTACACTGTGGACATTCAGGAGCGTTTGCGACGCGACCCGCTCGAGCTGATCTTAGAAAGACCATAATTTTGATGAAGGTAAACGTAGACACTTGGGTCATTACGGAAGGTAAGAGCCGCAGGAAAACTAAAAATTTGATGAAAGCCCTGAAGGACTTAGGCGACCTTTGGATGACAGCTTGAATAGATAGCATTCCCTTCTTTTTTAGAAAAATGAGCACCTGTTCCATCTTTTCAGGACAGACAAACGGGCTTTAAAAAATCTCTTTTTTTATAACGTATATTTGCAAAAAGCAACATTTTTGCTCTACAATAAAATAGGCGAGAGTTTGTACATTTAATACATGTATGCCAATAATTTCTACATTGTAAAAACCATTTTAGATTATCTATGTTTTACATCAGAATTTAAAATAGAATTTTGTATACAAATGTGTTGTGTGATACAAAAAAATTCAAGAATTAGAATACAACACACATTTATAAAAATGTGTACATATTAAAATATATATCCTTAAAATATACGGCATATAAAATTATAAGTAGAACTGTAAATTATAATTATAAAATTATTAATAGGGCAGAAAGTGCAGCAACTTTAAAGCTGCAGATCTAATAATAGGATAGAGATGCTTTAATCAGCTTAAGAGAGTACGCAAAGTTCAAATACAGCGTAACTCACAAAATATGATAAATATATGACAAAAGGTAAAGATTGCGTCAATATGAGCCACGCACTTAATGATGCGAATGATTGAACGTAAAAAGAATATTTTTTGTAATACATACCATTATTCAATTATTACAGATCACAGTTTGCAAGACATTGAGTGACAAAACATGAAAATTTTGTATCAAGAAGTATTATATTATTATAATACAAGCGTCTTTAGGCATTCAAATGACATCAAAGACATGAACATTGTATTATTTGTATCATTTTAAAAGATCGTTGGAGAGGGATTTTTTGGCGAATATAAAAGAACTCCATAGTTTCGCTCAGTTTATGATTTGATGTTGGGAGAATTTGAATAGGGATTAAAATTTAAGTGTGAAAGAGGTATTAAATATATGTATATGTACCTATATAAAGAATATAATTGTAATATCGGAGAATACTTATACGCGCGCGCGCACATACACAAAAGCTCATATTGATCTTTATTTTATATTATGAATAAAATTTTATTTTGAAATCTGGCACCAATTGGAGATTATGTAAAGTGCTTTTAACGTGTCGACGTGTCAATATGCTTAAGATTTAAATTATCATGCAATTTATTGCGCAAAATAGTACATTACGAGTGATATAACACATCCTCTTCCTCTTTCTTTCTTTCTCTTAACTAAATATTTCAGCATTAATCAACAGGGATTCTCATGGAGCGTGCAACCGGTTGACAAAATATTTCGACAGTTACGTATACATTCCGCGTTCGCGGATCTGAAAATCTCGTCTGGAAATGAGCATCGAAATCTAACGGGTTGCACACTGTTCCAGTTTTCATATTTCGCTATATTTTTTTTGCACGAACACGGAAATTTGATCTACACGGCGATCTCGTTGCGGATGCCGCAATCTGTCGTGGACATTGGTTAGAAACATAAATTTTAATGTTTATTGCAAATATTATAGAACGGCGACGAATGGCAAGTCGTAATTGCCGATATATGTATAATACTGGCAGTAATATTGTCAAATATAATTCTAAGAAATGTAGTTAGGCTAATATCTCCAAATCCAATTTCTCCGAAGTAATTTTTTTATAACAATCCTACACCGTAATATAGAGTATTTAATCACGATATGATTTACGATATTATGCGCTCCGCCTAACCGAGTAAGTAAGGAAACGATGAAAGTAGTGGTATTTCACCGGCGATGTTGCCATCTCCCACTTATGCTACACCTCTCATTTCTCCTTACAGTGCCAGACTAGAGTCAAGCTCAACAGGGTTTTCTTTCCCCGCTAATTTTTTCAAGCCCGTTCTTTTGGCAGTGGTTTCGCTAGATAGTAGATAGGGACAGTGGGAATCTCGTTATACAATTGAAATCACGATACGATCGGCAAGAAGCAAATTCTTTGAAAAAAAAATACATATAAAATGTAGAATAGATTTCTTTGATTGGCCGAATAATTAACGAGAAATAACATTCCTTAGAATTAATGTCAACCTATTTGATTATGTATCAGGATTGTGTGATGCGTTAGATTATTAGATTAGATGATTAACGCAAGTATGTGTAAATTATTTCATTATCATTGACGTATTATTTTGCGTAAATGCGTTTTAAATTGAAAAAGCGCTTGTGCGCCTTTTTGCTATTCTTTTTAATTGAGGTTTATTTATAGTAATATATAATTTAATAGGTGCACGTCAATGCACTTATTAAATATAATTTTATATTTAAAATTTATTATGTTCTTAAAAACTACACGTTCGGTACGAAGAATTTGTATGTTTCAAACATTTGTAGATTTCAAATGTTTTCTTACAAGAATAATCTTGTACTACAATTTATTGGACCATTGTATAATATTATTCCACTCTTACGCTATATATCACTACGCATCACATTTATTAATATGTATATTTGGTTTTCTTTCTGTTTCAGGTAAGTTAATGTATATTCCTCGTTTGTTCCTTCGACGAAAAAACCGATTTAAAATTATTCTGCAAATTCCGCATGCGAAAACGTAAGTACACTACTTACTGCAAAAGCGATTCTTAATTGAAAATTTTTCTTGATATTTTAAAGGAATTATTACATATAATACTTTATCATAATCACCTTTATATTTTGTCTATCTTTTATTAGCGATTTATTTCATCGCAAATAAGAAATTAATCAGTAGAATAGTTTTGCTGAAGTTAAATTTATGCCGGAACTACATTCAGTTCTAAGTTCGAAGTTCATCGCTCGCTGTTTTAAATACCAGCACGATGATTGTACACGTGGCATAATCGGTCTAGCGTTGCGAAGTTACGGAGGTAATCATTGACGTTTAAGTGTCATAAATAAAATAAAATAAGTTAATGAGTTAAACACAAGAAATATAGATATATTGTGATATTGATTACGTTTCTTCTGCAATGGGTTTGGGAGAAATATACAATTATTTGTTCGTAGAACTATCAGGTGAGTAATTCTATCTTCTTAAGTTTATAATCTAGTGTATAGTTCTTAGTATACGATATTAAGAAAATTTGACACAAATTCCTAACAAAAATAAAGAAATTCTGTACTAATGGCAATTTGGTATGGTATTAAAGCTTTTAAAAAATAAATAAAAAAATAAATTTCGTATTATATTTGTAATATTTAATAAATATGTACGTATGCTACAGATTTGATTAATATTTTATAATACAGACAACGACATTTTTAAAAACCAAGTTAACTTGGCAAATTCCGAAAATTAAAAGAATCTGAAAAGGTTTAAAAAGTTTTCGCTGTCACGTTATTTCTTTATCTATCGGAATAAAAATAGAATATGTCTTACAGAAATATTTGTAAAATACAAATATTTAAACGTGACAAATTGGTTTTTTTTTTGATAGAAATTTTTTGTTCGTAAGAAATTTTTGTCGTTGTTTGCATGAGTACAATATTACTAAAATAGCAACCACATTATAATATCGTATACTTGAAAGTATTGACCGCAAAAAGTTTCATTAAAGAGAGATCGTGTAGAAAATAGCTATATTATTTCAAAAATTATATTTTTGCAGTTCCATACACTCGCGAATGGTCACTCATAGCCACGCCGTATCCACTAATGCTAATAATATTCATGTATATATATTTTGTTCTTTACGCTGGTCCTCGCTATATGAAAAATCGACCGCCATATGAATTGAGAACCTTTATATTAATTTATGACGTAATTCAAATTCTGGCAAACTTGTGGTTCGTTAAAGAGCATATATCTGCCGGTTGGTCTACAGACGTTGCCTTTAATGGTATTTTCTACATGAACCATTGTGTGACACACAGTAAACTACCTCTTAATATGATTAAAGTATGTTTTTATAATATAATAATTATCGTAAAAGTTATTGATAAGTTATAATGCTTATATAAATAGTTGTATTATTAAGTGCGATGTGTGAATTTAATTTTTAATTTGTAATTATATCATTTTTAAAGAGAAGCAGAAAATGCCCGTTAAAAAAAATTATATTAATGGCCATAGGACAGATTTTAATTAGCGCAAAGAAACAATTATTTTAAATAAAAATCTGTATTTATAATTTAGTTGGATCTCGTATATTAAATTTCGAAGACATCATTGATTTTATAATTAATCAATAATCTCTAATTCTTTTATTATTGGCTGTCATATTGATACGGGCGATGTTTATTATTTTTATGATTGTAATACTTTGTATATCTTATATATAACATTTTCGTTTCAGCTATTCGATATGGTGTGGTGGCTAGGTTTTCTCAAACTTTTTGATTTCGTCGAAACCTGCATATTTGTATTAAGAAAGAAACAAAACCAGGTCTCTGGTTTGCACGTGTACCATCATGTATCTAATTTGACATTTCTCTGGTATTATTTGAAGTACTCTTTGGATGAAAGAGCGACATTTATTTCATTGTTTAATTGTGCCGTGCATGTAATCATGTATATATACTATTTCATCGCTGGATGGAGTCCAGATCTCCAACAGTTGATATCTCCCGTCAAACCATTTATAACTAAGCTACAGATGGCAAGTATTAATATAATATTTTATAATTAAATCGCTTACATGATGTTATTACATTTTTTATCCAAAATATATTTTAATTACTTCAATATTCCTGTTTAAATAGTACAATACATATTTGTAGTATTTTGTTTTTTAATATACTTATTTGTGAAATTAGGTACAATTTATTGTGATGATAGCAGTTATAGTACCGCCGATTTTGAATCCCAACTGCGAATTGCAACGAGGAATAGCAGTTATCTTTATTGGAAACTTACTTGTATTTCTGTACTTATTTAATGATTTTTATAAAAAAAGCTATACATCTAAACAGAAGAATAAATAACATTGAGAAACGATTTTACTATACGGTTAAGCAGATAATACTAATTATATATATGTACAAATTTCAATATATAATTAATATTATCTATTAAATATATTAAATAAATATAGAAATCATCTAAAGAAAACAATTTTGTTATTCATTATTATTTATTCTGTAGTCGCCATATTTTGTCGAATTGATAATTAATTAATAAATATTTGTTGATAGAATTTGATTTTTAGGCTAAATATATAATTATATCATATATGAAGGATATAATCCCTGTGTTCCGTAAAGCGCATATGCGCGCATTTATTTATAGCATACATAACGTTTACCATAGAAAATGCGCATATGCTCATAATGCGCTTTACGGAACACAGGGAATGTTAAATCTCAAAAATGTAGTGTAGAAAACAATTGTCATGTAATAATAATCTGTTAAACATAGATTATTATATATTTTGACTTTAAAAATAGTGTACAGTGATATTTAACTTATCATAAAAATAATAGATAAATATTTTTAATATTTTCTATTTATATTTACATGGTAAATATTGAATATACACATATATTGTAGACTATAAAATACAAATTGTTTATAAGCTACGAATACTTTGTAAATTTCTTATGTATTTATGTATTTAATGTTATGTGTATTTAAATATTATATATAGATTTTTGTACATTGACTTATTGTGAGTTTATTGAGTTATGTTAAAATAAACGATTTATTTCTAGCGATATATATATGGCAAAATTTTATTATTGATAAACTATGATTATGATTTTAGACGTGGGAAAAATATTATTAAGGGTTATTAAACTAAATATATTTTTATATACAGAATGTATTGTGAATTTACTAATAGAAATGTGTGTGTGCTAGAAATCGAGTGAAGATAAATATATTATCTACTTAAGAGTATTGATACCTTTTTATGTTGCGTAGTAAGCATTTAAAAATAGTAATAAAATTTTAACAATTTTAATCTGAGAAAATATTGGAATATATAAAATTTATATATTTTTAAATATACATTTAGTATTTTACATACATACACTGCGTGAAATTAGATATAAACGATTAAGGATCCTCTCATACAAAATGACATAGTTGCATATGTATAGCATAAGACCGTCCTGGACCAATGTTATAAAAGTTTTGATTAGACTTATGCTAGATGCTCAACGGTGCAGGTAATCCTGTGCTATGCATATGCAGCTATGCCATTTTGTGTGAAAGGGCTCTAATAGTTATTAATTAATTTATATTTAATACCAATTGTATATTCTCGAGCTAATACCGGAAATTGATTTCAATTCTACAAAGTCATTCAGTTACGCTAAGAATGATTTGAATACAAAGTTATGCATATTGTTGCGTATATATACTTATCGTTGAATCAGTGAGGTACGAGTTTTTATTAGTTAATATTTAATATCTCATGATTTCAGAAAATTATTATCCTATGCTCAATATATTGCTTGATATATCAATAACAGAGATCTTCTTTTTATTATATGTTAAATGTCCTGTATTTCTATATTTTACGTGTGCTGATATACGCGCTACCATGTATAGTGCAACAATCATATTTTAAATTAATTACTGCATTTATTTATAATTATATACGCTGTGTCATCTTTAACAACGCAAATACTTGTAAGTGAACTTACAACATGAGTATCTTTTTATATATGTTTGTTATGCATCTTTGTTCTGTAAACGACACTTAATAACGCGAAAAAAGATTGAGTCAACTTTTAATAAAGTGCTACTATTTATTTGTTTATTTACAGCATGTTATTTATTCTTATTATTTTGGATATTCAAAGGTAAAAAATATTTTGTTAAGACAGTATTATAATTTATAATACATACTATTTGTAATGAATATGATATATATATAACAATATTTTGATGAAAAATGTATATAAGTATAAACAATCTATTGCAAAATAATAAGATTACTATTATGCTTAAATAAATTTATCGTCTATATTTGTACAAGTGATCTTCAAAGTTATTTTTATGGGAAGCAACACATGCAAATATTCGTCTGAATTGAATTTTTATCCATTAATGCTATCAGTTGTTCACTGATAGCATTAATGGATAAAACTTGTTTTAAAATTTAATAAAAATAATAACATTGTAAGCAATTATTTTTCTAACAATGAGAAATTTAAAAAATCTGTCAAAATTCCGACTGCTATCTTGTAAAAAGTATAGTTAATTATATAGCGCGTAAGATAATAATTTTATAAAATTGAATAATAAGAATTAAAATTTTGAAAATCACACTTATATAACGTTAAATGAATAAATGAACAATCTACTATCTGCATTATATTTTTGATTATATGTAAACGAATTAAATACGTGATAAATTGCAGCACCGAAATTTGTCTATTCTTCTTTTTCAGCATAAATACGACCGTTTTCTAATTATTTGCAAGACCCACAACAGGATTTCACGCAATTTTATATGTATAGATCTTTAATCTATTTAAAGATTTCTTATTATGACTATTCGACACGATCTAGAAGCTGTAAAAAAAAACCATAATCTGTGCTTTGTAAGTCAGGGATATACAAATAATTTATTTCAATATAAATTTTTATATATAATATAGCAGATCGATTAGTAACTACTTTATCGATTTGGAAAAAAAGAGTACTATCATAAAGCATAGAATAGATAAGTGATAATATTCGATAAGCATGTTATTTTTCGACCATCGGACAAATTGTTAACTTAACATTAATATGTGAATTTTTTATCAATAATGTGGGATTTTCAAAAGCAATTGATACGCTTTTTGTCTCAGTTTGTATTGAGAAGGGGAGCTTATTTGTTACACTATACATATAAAAAACAGACATTTGCCATTATATTCGTTTCTGTGATCGATGAATCTGTTATTGTCACTTATAATTAGTAGAAATTGAAACTTTGTACCTGTTGCGTCATGCATGATTTTACGTAGATGTATGAATATATTTGAAGTATGTACTTTATAAAGAACAATAGATGTCCAAAGGAGCTAGATAAAATTTCGAAATAAAATGAAAGTGTAACAAGCAAATACTGTAAATTGAGATACACGCGCAATACAAAATATTAATAAAATGGGGACTTTCAATAGTATATAATGACTTGTAAACACACCAGTTCGGTAAAAAACAATAAACGCAGAATACGATTAATGGATTGTTTTATATATGTAATTTAATTAAACAATTAGCGATATTGAATATGTGCAGTGCGCGACATGCGTTGCAAATCTGTATATACATTTATGTAGAAAGTAAAAAATGTAATTAAATGAATCGTAAACTTGAAGAACGTTTTATTATTAAAATAATAAAACGTTAAAATGTTGATTATTGAAATTTTTAATAATTACACAAATTAATTAATACTATAAATATAACCAAATAATTACGCAAATTAATTGATGTAAAAATTATCAACATAAACGTTTTTAATGTCGAAAATGTTACGCTTTGATAACAAAGTAAATTTTTGGATTTGCAAAATTTGTATTTGATTGTGTTTTTCACATTATTAAAAGATTATCTTGCTTTCGCATTTTTTCCATTATTATGGAATTAATTAGTTAATTGTTTTACCCTGTTCCTAGGATGTTTATTTATTTCTTATGAATTGATAAGAATGCGGATTATTTTATGTTGACGTTGGTTAACTTGATATGGCTTTTTCTTGAATGTTTATTTATTTTAAGTATAAGAAGTATTAAATATATGGAAATTGAGTTAAAATAGGTTGAAATTTCTCCGCATTTTAGAATTATCATGTATCCGTATTATATTGTTAGCAAAGTGATACTGACTTACTTTTCGTAAACCGAAGATATCACTCTCTTGATTCACCAAGTTTGACATTAACTGTCATATGTGCAACCGACATACATCACGTTTGTCGGTCGAGAGTTTACCAATATAGTCTAACTCTAAAACTATCCAACGTCGTGCATATTACCGATTGCGATCAAATCAGGTAATGTATTTCGTAGAATGTTAAGCGAGGATATATGTGTCAGTTTAAGCTGACAAGTGCGCATATAGTATATATGCTTTATCGTAAGTAGTAAAAGTAGTAGTGATAGTAGACATCTCTATATGTATTTGATGGCTGGACCACTCGCCTGTATATCCTCGCCGAGGTTTTTATAAAAATAATTTTTATATTTATATTTCTTCATTAATCTTTATTTAATAAAACAGTAACATTTATTTAAATTTAGCATTACACAGTTACACAAATTGTTTGCTTCAAGTACATACAATATTTAATATTTAGCGATAATTAATAATAATAAATAATAATTAATAATAATTTTTGAACGATATTTAATAAGACAGTTATTTCCTAAATAGTACGAAAGGAAAACACAGAATAATCATAGAAATTACTTAAGAGAAATATTGGTAATAATTTTTTGTTATAGTGGATTTCTATCTTTTTGGATTTACATTTTATATGTGTAGAGAAATGTTAGATCTAATTTTTTTACATATGCACATATATACACACACATACACTGTTGGAAAATTTGTGTAGGTTTGTTAAAAAAGGTCCTTGTTAAAATTTTTGTGTAAAATAATCAACACATACAGATTTAACATATCCCTGCTATGTTAATTGAGCTTAACAAATTCAAAAGTTAAATTATTAAAATAATTTAAAGAATATGTTAAAGTAACACAATTTGAACGTATTTATTTTAGTGTTGAAATTTAAAGAAAAAGAATGTTGATTTTACTCTATAACAGAAGTGGGAATAAAAATTTACTGAAAAAGAGTGTTGATTTTATCTTACAATCTTATCTTACAATCTTAACTTCAACATAAAACTTATGTTAATTGTACACATAATTAACCTCAAATTACGATCAGAATTACATTTCTTTTCTGTTGAAATATTTTAACATAGTATCGGTGTTACCATTTAACACATCCATATTATGTTAAATTAACACAAAAATTTGAGTGGACCGTTTTGGACATGCGATTTATGTTATATTTAACACAAATTTTCCAACAGTGTAGGCACGTAAGATTAAATATGCGTGGTTCTATTGTAAATTAACT